TCGAATGTGGCACTTGAATCTACACTAATATCTCTAGTATTATCTATGTCTAACCTACGTGCCTCCCTAGCGCGCGAAGGCCCACTAGGGGTGTCTTTCCTGGGGTGGAAAATGGTTGCAACTAAAAATAACTAAAAGGAAATTGATAGCAACACACAGAAAAAATTCTAGTGTACTTACATAAACAGCATTCTGGTTTCTCTGGAATCGATGTCTTGATTTCCCCTCCGATCAGGATCACAGGTTCTTTCAGGATACTCGGGTGCCCGAATCGCTCGCGACGGCGTTAGCGATATTAACAGTACGGCTCTTCGATATGAGGATAGCCCTAGCTAATATACTACCTCGAGACGCCTCGAGTATCCTACCGACTGCGCCAATTATGTAGATCGCTGCCGGAGGCTCCAAAGAAAACCAAGAACTTCTTAGACAAACTTTAATTATTAATAAAAAGTTACAAGTTAATTCCTATCTGCTAATACAATTGATCCTGTTCGATGCAAGAATCAGAATGAATTTTATTATAATGCTAATAATTAATCCTAAGTTACAATTAGGATGACGAAATCACTTTCCGGTAAGTAAGCGAGTCAGAATCGAACAATACCGCGGGGTGTCGCAACACATTTCACATGTAAGGGTCTTACTAAGCATTGGCATTGAGGCCGATGCACACTTTGTACTTTATGTGTCGTAATGCACTATAACACTGTTATTAAGAATTATCATTAAGGCCGATGCACACATAGCACTTTACGAGTTGTGAGTAGTCATGCACTATAACAAACGTCTTCCTTGAATGTTTTTCTTTTGTTGTGTTTACATGAAAGAAGAAGATAAAAACGTTATGAAAATCATAAAACAGGTATTGGAGCTGAGCGCTTCTAGCAAGCTGGTAGTTGTGAATACTTATGTATATTCTTAAGCTTCAAGTAAATAGACTTTATCGCCTTTAAACTTGCCAGCAGTATATTCCCAGCAGCTTTGTGCAGACTTTAGATTTGTCAATTTGTCTTGTTGATTTTCTGCAGCCAACTTTAATACTCCAGGGCATTATAAACTTCTTGCATTTACTGCAGTTTCTTACTGTTCGAAGTTAGCAGCTACTATTCATTATGATTTATATTTTATATGTATTTTGTATAGCCAGTTCTATTAGTATAAGACTGCTTCATTGGCCGACTGGTCGCGAGTGCGACTGCCGCGCAACCGGTCTCGGGTTCGATTCTGGGGTCTGGCAAATTATTACTACGTTTTAAAAAAAAATCTCAGTTGCACGGAGTCTGGAATTGTGCCCGGTATATGGCAATAGACTCACGCCCTATTACATGCGACTCATAACATAAATAGTGAAACGTGGTTGTTACATTGTACAGTGGCTTAAGTGCCGTAACAGGCACCTCTACCTACCACTTCGTTATGTTATGTATAGCCAGTGAGGCTATGAGCCGACAGAGTAGAACACATTTGTATCTACTTCTTTCCGTGGGTACCTGAAAATTCGGTAAAGACTGTCTTCCCATGGGAGACATAACAGGCGTCTCAGCTTCACATGTGATACAGACCAGTCGGTGCTCTATGGTGAACCTGAAATTTTCAAATTGATCTCCTATCCATTTGCCAAGAGTAAAGATTATGCTAAACCATCTTATTTTCCCGCGAGCGTACGGCGCGTCGGATTCCGCGCGCGTCTCAAAAAGCCATCAGAGCATCACGGATGGGACCCAATAGGGCTGATGCCGATTCGGAGTCGCAGAGAACCTAACGGGTTACCGGGGCTCCGGCTCGAAGTGTAGGAATAGGAAGAGATTAGATGATTTTTTTCACTTTAAAAAAAACTATAACACGGTTTTATCTCAAAACATTCACCAAAAACATGAATAAAGCATACATCTATCTACTAGAGCTTGTATAAACGTATTAAGGATTAAATTACATTGTGTTGCCGCGAAAATTCAACTCGACATTGAATTTCATACAGCCAGGATAAGTCTTGAAACGATGCCTTGATTTCATTTGCAGGGATCAGACGGGCTTTGTAACTCTTCAAATATATGAATATTAATTAATTATTTTGATGTTTCGACACGTTTTCTCTTTGTTTTTGGGTTATTTTCTTGTCTAAGCTTTGATTGTTTATTAGATTTTGTTATGTAAACTAGGGATTTCGGTGAATATAATGTTAATTGAATAGGTTTTGATGTTGAGATTTATTTAAATAAATCTTTTGATTGATTATATTTGGAGTTAGTTTTAAGTAGAGTTATCAAGTGCGTGTTATACTGACTATTCTCGAATAATTTTAGTTTTAATGGGAGGTTAAATATCGACTAATATGTCCTGTCTTAACGAATCGTTGCCCCAACGTCTTCATCGTATCGCATCATCGCTTACCACCAGGCGAGATGGTAGTCAAATGTCGGTCCAACAATTATCAAAGAAAAGGATTTTTTCCATTAATCTTTAGTTAGTATCTATAGTGCGAAACTACTACCTCTGTGTTCAATGATATAAGTCTATCCATTACCTTTTCGCAACAAAACAGCAGCAAATACGTAATAAGGTACCTATAACTTCATATTTGTTCCGGCAGCTTCGCTACACACGAGGTAAACAAAGCATTTTTTTGAAAACACAATTTAATAAATGGTCGCTCGGTACGTGGATTGATACAGTTATATCTTTAAACGAGTTTGCATATTATATCAGTCTGATCTACATATTTACGAGAGACAGAATGTATCCAATCGAGCTGTTGAAGAATGAATTTATTACGAAGTTACTTACAGACGGGATTAAATTGAAATATAAGAGGTTTATTGTCTCTGTTGTCAAGCGTATGTACGCTTTTGTAAATAAGTTTTTTTAAGGTGGTAAAATCGTCCAATGACTTCTCCCGCCTGGGTGAGGCGAGAGAGAAAGTGTCAGACTCTTATTGACTAAAAACTTCCTCGTTCCTGCTTTCAACCGAAGCCCCGGTAACCCGTTAAGTTGTTCAAAGAAATTCCAAGCTTAGAGACCCAATGTTCGATAAGAGATGTATTTATCGGAACCATCTTTATACCTGTTACCATTATGTTTTATTTAAGGATTACCATAAAACATATTGGTACATAGCGAGCTTACTAACGCTCGCTCCTTATAATAATCCAAACATAAATTAACCAAAAATCGTGGTAAATATATCGAGAAAAGCTGTACTAGTTTTGAGCTACATAGGACATAGGGGCTCTTCCTCATAAGCAGCGTGAGCGGTTGGGGCGATGTCGTGCCTACTCTTAGTAGAACTTTTCTCAGTAACCCATGATTTTTAGTTAATTTTGTATATTTCGGGATATTTATTATAAATCCAAATATGAGAAGAACAATGAGAAGTAATTGCTACATGTACTACCTACTGCTAGTTCGTAAAAAATAAAAACTTGTATCGCTGTTACCTTTTTGACAAAATCATAAACAAAAAGCGATACTATTAACAATGCAATACGTACTAGTTCCCTTTATCATACTTTTATTCACAATGAAAATCCTCCCAAGTCTACCTAATCACTAGAACAGTATCCTCAGGTGACTAGTACTGGTTCTAAACCAACAGTTAGTAATCCCCTTTATCTGTCACCTTCTGTTCCAAGTTATAAAGGCTTTGCTCAACGTTAGCCACGGGACGAGATCACTTTGTCTACTGAGATTACTTGACTGGACGATATTGAAGTTAAAGGTTTCGTTGTTAGTCGTATTTAGTATCGTTTTTACAACTACAACTACAAGTAAATCATTATAAAACCATTTTAGGTATAAAAAATAATCATTCTAAAGTATAGCATTCAATATTATTTATCTTACTAACTGAGCCTGCGACTTCGTCCGCGTCGAATAATGATTCACAGCTCCTCCCCGTAGTTGATAGCATGATAATATTATTATGTAACCTATATGTTGACCCGACCTGTTAGTAATAGGCATGCAAAATTTGAAGTAAATCCATGCAGCACTTTTTGAGTCCATCTCGGACATACATACAGACAAACAGACAAAAATTCTAAAAACCATATTTATGCTTTCGGTATCGGATGCAGATCACACCCAAAGCATTCTTTTAAAAAAAAAATATTCGATGTACAGTTTTCATTTATCTACGATTTTATTATATGTACAGATACAGATACTTCTTTTTTTTTATTTTTTATATAATAGAACTGTAGAGTTTGTTTGTTTGAACGCGCTAACCTCCGGTACTACTAGCCCGGTATGAATAATTGTGTTGAATAGTGCATTTATCGAGGAAGGCTATAAAACATCACGCTACAGATAGGAATATAGGAAGGAGGAATAGGAACCGAGAAGAGCGGGTAAAACCGCTCGGAAATATAAGATATGTAAAAAGAAAAGGTTTACTTTTTACTAGTGCTTCATTAGTCGCACTGGTTTCACAGAGCTGTTGGATAAGCAGTATAGTTCTATTTCTAGATTTTAATCTAGGAATAGATCTATATCACTGCTTATCCTGACTTCAGAGAAAGTGCGATTTATTTTACTGGCACAATTAATATTTTCATTGTAATTTGGACCTTATTTTAAGTATCTTATAAAGTTCCGCGTGGTTCTCCGTTTGGCACAAGAGCTTAAACCTAAATTTATTCTCGTATCAACTTACGTTTTCATCGTAAAGCACGAGTGTACGTATATATACACACATCAATCTATACAAAACCGGTTTATCCTGGTGTTGCGTCGCATCAACCTTCCGCACATTTAACGTTCAGTTTATACTGGTTATATAAAGCTCGATGTGTAGCCGTGTGTACCTACATTTCTACCTGCCCTTTTGACACAAAACGCCGGCGATGTTAAATGATGACATAAAAGTTCCATTTCCCACTGACCTTTCGTTTGCCATTTAAATTTGAGTGCCGTGCATTATTGTGATAACCAATCTGAAACTCAATTATTACTTCACCGTAGGTATATTTTATTTAAATTTCATAAAACTGATGAAAAAGATGGTAATTACTTGTTGTAGGTATTAAAACTGTGACAGACTAACCTTAATTGAGTAGAGTAGGTATTAATTTCATGAAATATTGTTTAAATAATATAAAAGGTCTTTTATTAAAATGTTGCTATTAGCTTTAATATTAAAGTCTATTGTTTTATGCGCAAGCAACTAGTAATTGTCAATTTATTTTAATGTTATAAATGAACTGTCTCTTTATTTCAGTTTTCATAAACGCGAGTAGGTACGTTTCAGGTTGAGGCAATTTTATTTGTGAGTCATGTGTTGTTGATATGATTGCTAATGCGCCTAGGTTTTTGGGGAAAAAGACTAGGGGTTGTTGAATTTTATCTCACTAAAACCTTCTCGGTGGCGACTGGTTTCTTGCAAGTTCATCTGAACCTGAAGGAAGCACCTTGGTCTTCTTAGTAGATCAACCTCATAGCCCCCACCAATCTATGACTGGATTTATCAACTGTCAAAATTATACCCATAAATGTTATACATATAATCTAATGGCTGTAATAGGTAGTAAATTGAATGAAACTCTAAACTTTATTTTGAAACTCGGTATGAATGAAACAAGATACATTTTAATTAGAACTAATCTCCTCACTCGCAATTAATTAAATCAAACAAAAGCTGTCTTTCTCTTCGTATCAATTAGAGAATAGTTCGAACAGTTAATGCATTGCTAAATTACTCGTATCGCCGCTCTCGTGTCTTTCAAAGGCTTCAAGATTCGATCGAGTGTATTGACACAAACAATCAATCAAATCGATACTCAGCGGCCATGTTTGATTCAAATTCCAACATGGCGTCTTTGAACTGTCATTATTTACTCAAGCTCGAGAATTTTAATTAAAAGTTTTATCATAAAAGTGTTAACAAAATCAAATAAATGTTTTTGATTTTGTTTGCTTCGCATTTTTATTTTATTTCATATTACGCGAAACGTGACAACCGTTTTCTTTTTCTTTCATAGAGATTTTTGTTTCATAGAGTTCAATATTTTTTTAAATGTCAACTGCTTTTTAGGTTATAATTGGTGTTTTGTTTTTAAAAGGGTTTTCTGAGTACTAGGGGTTCAATTACTGGTGAACAATAGGTGTGAAGTTGAATGGGTATAGGATCTGCGTAGTTTGCTTCGTAAACACTTTTGGATTTTTCGATTAAATAGTTTTCTAGAGTTTGGGATTCTAAATAAGCGTGTAAGTGATGAGGGTAAAGTTTTGTTAGATTCGACATTTAATTGCTATTATCTACAACATAAAAGCGAGCTCTACGGCGTCGGAGGTAATTAAAAAAATATCGTCAGTGGTACGCCAATGAAAGATGTTTACACGTGGGAAAGCCATACTTTGGCAGGAATAAGCCGCAAGAGGCGCCCGTTTCTAATGAATGAGGGTGCCGGTTCGAATCCTACCAACGGCTGGTATCAATGGACTTTTTCCGAGTTATATGTACTTTCTAAAGATTATTTAGAGACCACTGACAAACGGTAAAGGAAAACATTGTGAGGAAACCTGGACTTATAATTTATAATTATAATTTTGAAATCACCAACCCGCATTGAGCAAGCGTGGTGATTAATGCTCAAAACTTCTACGTGTGAGAAGAGGCTTTGCTCAGCAGTGGGCATTTAATGGCTGTTGATGAATGATGATGAAGCCGCAATGTGAGGAAATCTGCCGTATGGAAGGCCGGCTTACCCTTGTAATACCCCTGGTGCTTCACCATGTCATGCCCATGGGTGGCGCTGAACCATCAAATGATTCGTCTACTCACTGGGCCGTATCCGATGAAAAACATAAAATACGATATAATTTTCAAGTAAAAATCATTTCAATAAAGCACTCAAAAATTAAATTATTCTCGAACAAGTCTCATTTAAACTTATAATTACGGAAATCAATTATTCAAGTAGAAAATCCATTCTGTGCCTCGTTAATATTGGAAAATCCTTTTAAGTCAAGTTTATAATCACACGACTTTTACATACACTTCTCATTTGTGTCCCTTTTGTGTACGACAAAGGCACTCAACATGTTTTGATGTATAAGTATCATCGACTTTACTTCGAGTTTTAAGAATCCAGATTATTATAATCTCGGTATGTATGGTCTTTCCGCACATACGACGGTCAGTTTATATTGGTTTACTTCAGCTTTACGTATAGTTGCGTGTACTTTGTGACAAATTGCGGCTAAAAGAGTACAATACATTAAGTGACGGTTGAGTTTCGTTTCTAAATGGGAAGGTCAAATGTTAGACTTAAAATAAAAGGTCATTGATAAATGGTGTTACATGTTTAAGTCCCCAAAGGGATAGGATGAGTTGCAGATTTGCAATGTAACTCTAACGCCCATTTTTCTACCAGACCACCGGATGGGGCCCAATAGGGCTGATGCCGATACGGAGTCGCGGAGAACCTAACGGGTTACCGGGGCTCCGGGTCGAAGTGCAGGAGTAGGAACGGGGTGGTTTTTCGACCTCATCGTTCGCTTGATAAAATTGACGTGTAAAAGTGCTGTCTTGTAGCCTATTTGCAGAAATAAATTCACTTGTTTCACTTCCATTTCATAAATTACCATTCAACGTTGTAAGAATTAGTGATGTATTTAAATTGTTTATAGTTCGTATATTCAATAACTAAGAAGTTTGTGGATAATTAGTTTTAATATCGATTGTTGTTACAACAAGAGACTTAACGAATTTGCGTAATGTTTTTACTTCTGAGCGTAAAATTCGATGTATTTTAAAAAATGTTTGCACATAAAGTGCTGAGCTGTTCAGTTGCGTTGCTCCGAAAACTTATACTTACATTTCTTATTGAGTTTACAAGTCCGCGACAGTCCACCCATCGACTATCTTCTCCTCCGCTTCTGGTCTCCTTAGCACAAGGCTTTGTCATAATCTCCATAACTGTCAGGCGGGTTGAAGATAGTAGTACAAAAGGTGTAGATTTATAATAGAGTGCTGCCGGGTCTCTGTCGAATGTCTAGTCCCAGCTTTTACGACATCTACCCTATCATTACCAGTTTTTAAAAAGTAGGTAATAACCGACTTTTTTATGTATGTAGAGCATGAAACTATGTATTACTACACCTACACTATATTGGGTTCAAAATGAATTCCAAATGTGAATTTAAAAATGAAACTAGAAAGATATTAAAATTAAATGTTAAAATGTATATCAAATAAAAAGTTTTAATAACAATCTTGTCAATTGTACTAAAGTTACTATTATTTGAATGTTAGAAGTTTTCAAATTAAGAAAAGTTTTTAATTTAGGTACCAATCTATTACATGAGTATAATAGGTAGGTATAATTCTTCAAAAAAGTTTGTAATTGTAATCATAAAATAGCAAACGAAAGGACTGATTAAACTTAGGTATTTCTTTTGCATGATCGTTAAAATTTCACAAAACAGTTGAAGAAAGAAATTCTTTTATGCGATTTCGACTGACGGCATTCCATCGCGAATAATTCTAAAAGTTTCGAATTTGAAGATAATATGAATGCGAGATTATTTGAAGATTTGCGCCAAATTACATTTAAATTAATAAGTTTTGTTATTTGACAAATTTTACGAATTCGTTTTCTTTTTCTATGAATCAAATAATGAAATTGATTTTAGTGCAAATCTTATTGAAATATTTGAAAACCGACATCATCATACCGTGACCACTATAAAAATTAATACACATAAGTATATTACAAAATCAGGTTGATTGTAGACTTGCGCTGACCGCACGCTGACCGTCGCGTCGTCGGCGCTAACAGTCGAGATATTATTATATAAACTTCTAGGAACCGTGCGCGCTGATAGCTACGCATCATTTAAAAACGCTTTCTAGAAGTTTATATAACTTGGCTGTCAGCGCTGACAATCAGCGTGCGGTCAGCGCAACTCTAAACCCAGACTAAATACAATAATAGTCTCTAATTTTCATCCAGAATAAAATGTAAGAAACAAATGAATATCGAGACCGAGTCTATTGTACTCCGAATGTTGCCTTGTACCTGAATAATTATCGATTGCAGACGCTGTGTAGACGTGCCTTTGTTTGTATAGAAGTCAATACTCTAGACAACATTCGGTGCTAAGGTCTAGAGTGACCTCATTACCGTAACACTAATTGTATTGTCTTCAGTCCATCTATAAAAGGTGAAAAGGTTCATCAAACTCAAATCTAATGATACAAATTAAGTTGATATGATTAGAAGGTTTCATGCTATTACTAAATCTTTAGATAAAAGAATTTATGCTAATGCATTAAAATAGAATTTGTATTTTTATTTGAATCTTTAAATGGTGATTCTAAAAGAAATACGTTGCTTTTAAAATACATTTCAAGAAATACATTTATGTTTATAACTCTCGTTTGTGGCTTTGATCGCTTTCTGATAAATTACAGAAAACCGTATCTAAATCGGTATTTAGACCGTTACGAAGACAAATGAGAACAGAAAACTGAATTTTCAATACAAACAAATAACCTCTTACTCTATAAATATGTATGATATTACTACTTTTTTGTAACATCATGAGTAACAAAGTAAATACTTCTATTTTTTAAGTAAAAATAATAGCCTACAACCCTACTGCTATCTTAAAACTATATTTAATTATATACAACATTTTAAATCGACTGCACTGTTGGCCCGGTGCTTGGGCAACTGACTGCCGCGCAACGTCTCGCAGCCAGGTTCGATTCCCACACGGAACAACTCTTGTGAACACTCTCAACGGTGTGATGTGTATGTGAACCTGAATGTTTGTAAACGCACCCACGATACGGGAGAAAATCCTAGTGTGGGTAAACGTTGAAAATAAATAAATAAATAAAAGTATATTTCACTCTACCTCCTTCCCTTTCTCTCTCTTTCTCTCCCTCTATCCCTCTGTTTAAAGCAGAATAGAATAAATACTTCTTCCTATTCCATTTCATTCAACACTAACCAAAAGTTTCTTTGCAGCACTGCCCCGAAGCAGCGCTGGTATCAGCGAGGGTGCTCGCAGCTGAAGGTGCTCCAGCAACCCGCTCCGCATCAGGAGTTGAAAGAAGACCATCAGCCCCCAGGCCTCCGCTCTGCAAGAGAGGCTCGGGATCCTTGCTGTCTGGATCTCCGCCTACTTCTAGGTAAGTGGTGATCAACTGTTTGGATCTCATAACCTAACTTCATATGATAAAACACAACGCTAGCGTTGTTTCACGCTGGTTTTCAGGGTGTCTGTGTTGTCATTTCAGTTGAGCCGGCCCATTCGTGCCGTAGCGTGGCTCTCCGACGTTAGCTACCCAAGATTCCACAGCCACTGATATGTGTTATTATTAATTAATTGTAGTTGGGGGTCGCTTATTACTAGTTGTATCGTTTTAAAACAAAATGCGCATTAGCTTTACCTAACTGAAATGAATGAAGTTTCTTCAAGATTCCCTATGTTATAGGTATGGCTTGGCAAATTGCAATATTGTTTGTGAAGGAGCTAAACTTACATAAAAATCCATATAAAACTTCAGGATCCGCTTGAAAGATACAAATTACTACGCAACTGTATTAGACGGGGCTCGTAGCTCGTAGCACTTTCCTCTACGAGACTACGCCGTAGTATTTCGTAGACAAGCTACGTAATTTTTCTGAACTTTTACTTCATTAGTACAACACGTACAATTAATGTTCTAAGTTCATAATATGATACTTGGTTTTCCCCAAAGGATATATTTAGACGATACGCCTACTTTTAGCTAATTACGTCATTTTTCTTACATACTTATACTTACAAAGAGCAAAAATATAAGACATTTACTAAAATAACACGCCAACACGTCTTTTAACCCCTAAAGGGATGTTAACATATTAAATATGGACTTTCCTTTTTCCCTAATTACGTCATGAGTCCCATGTGTCAGAGGGCGAGCCTGCTACTAAACAGGTACAATCCTACCCCTTTCCAAAAAGGCTGGTAGCAGACTTGTAGCATCTCTGGTCTTGTGGGTGTCCATGATGGCGCTAATTACTTGCCATCAAGAGATCCGTTTGGTAATTTTTCTATCTATCTCATAAAAAAATGTTTGGTTAGACTAGGTAGATACTCGGTTACCTTAATAACCTTTATGTCCCTTGTAAATAGGATACAAAATAGAATAACACAATTATTTTATGTAACAACAGCTTACAATATTGACAAACAAAATAATTCGAATACCTAATTCATTTTGCTGTATCTCGCGCGTTCCACAATATTGCCATCAAATATACAAAATGGCGGGCTATTCTTCATTTAAATTAATGCCATTAATAAAGCGTGTTGCGTTGCTTGCTACAGATAACATGATGGCTGGTGGCTAGGGCTGTCACGGTACAACTTGAATTTAGTTTAAATTATTTAATCTGTCTTCAAAGACAGACTATGTGACAGATGGAATCCTTGTGTGTTTAGAGTTTATGTAATACTTATTGAATTTTTGGATCAGTATAAATTTATGATATAGTTATTCGAGTGATTGTTTCATTCTCGACTTAGACAGTATTAATGGGATTTCTTTTATGAAAATCTCTCAATAAAACAGTACGGCGTCTAAAATGGTGTCCATTGCGAGACACCCCCTATTATTTGGTATTCATAATATAACTGGTGAAAACTGGATATATGTGGCACCTCTGCCTAAACCCTTTGGGGATTAAAAGGTCTGGTGTCATGTTATGTTAATCCTTCTATTAAGGCATTCGGTACTTTCATTTGGAACGGTGTTTGGTTGTCTTTAGATATGCATATACCACAGTCTATTTAAATGTCCTAGTGAGACCCGACCCTTCAAGTATTTGCATTGGAATATTAAATTATTTGGAGATTTCGTTCCTTTGTATTTATCTACAGAAGACCATACTACGTTTTAACCCCCATTATGGCTAAATTGAGATGGCTCTTTAGATAAAAGAAATGTTTTGTCCTTTCAATATGTTATATAGAAAAAAGAACACTTAATTATTTAATTCTATTCTTCTCTGATTCATTGAGGTATTTATTGTAAATAAAAATTATAATAAGTACTATTTTTAACCCTTGCGAGATTTTAATAAGATTGGTTGAGTAAAAAAACCGTAAACAGATATAACCTAATGTCGTGGTGGCCCGGAGGTTTAAGACGCCCACTTCTCATGCATGAGGGTGCGGGTTCGAAACCTACCAACGGCAAGTACCAATGTGACTTTTTCCGAGTTATATGTACTTTCTAAGATTATTTAGACACCACTGACAAACGGTGAAGGAAGAACATCGTGAGGAAACCTGGACTTATAATTTCTAATTATAAGTATGAAATCGCCAACCCGCATTGAGCAAGCGTGGTGATTAATGCTCTAACCTTCTCCGTGTGAGAAGAGACTTTGCTCAGCAGTGGGCATTTATAGGTTGATGAAACAGATATAACCAAATAATTTTACTTACGTATTTTTAATTTCAAGTTGCAATACTTTTTCTACAATCTGCCAACCCTACAATGTCAGGAAATATTATCGTGTCTGATTTTTCCGAGCGTCGCGTCGCGTCGTGGCTCGAGCTCGCTCCAACAATTTAATTCTGCTTTAATTTGTCCTGCATTTAATCCGAACATCGATAAAACGAACATAATATTGTCGTTATTTCATAATAATTACGATTGTTTACCAACAGAGAATCACGCCTTTTTACTATGAAACTATGTATATAGATAGAAACTCCGATTTAGCAATACTGGAGTAATACGAAATCTGGATTACTTTTAGTTATTTTAAAAGTGTTACTTCATAGCCTAAGTATTTATAGAAATAAACTAGCAAACCCGGCGAACTCCGTTTCGCCACCAGATGGCATCGTTTTATGTAACATATCGTTTGGTGATTAAAAGATAAAGAAAAATTTTTTCCTGAATTTTCTTCGCTATAAACCTTACGGAGCCCGAGACCTTTCCAACGAATACAAAACCGTGAAAATCGTGCGGTCTGGAGTTATAGCGTCAGGAAGGAAAACCCGACTTATTTTTATATAGTAGATGTAGTATATACCTATACCTCTACAAATTGACACTAGCAACGAATTATATTGCCTGAAAAAACCGTATAATCTACATCTATCTACCATTCTAAACAACAAACGGGTTGATGTTTTATTACATAGTTAGTACCTACGTAAATCAATTTCCATGATCCTATCCGTGACACATGAAACGAGAATTAAACGGCGATATGCGATCGAAGGGCAAGTCCTTATGTCTTCATACGAAGGCTCAACTACATAGCAACAGGTTCTTGTATGTATTAGTATATCGGGTTTCATTGAAAGCTTATAACGTACGATTCTCACTTTACTTTTTGAATAAAATATCATTTTTCTTTCCTTCAACACACGTATTAAGTTACATGTTGTTTTAAAACAAAACAAACCCGTTTTGTGGGTATATTTGAGATGATACATAACATCATAACATAACATCACGCCTTTTATCCTCGAAGGGGTAGGCAGAGGTGCACATTATACCACTGTACAATGTAACACCCACTTTTCACTATTTATGTTATGAGTCCCATGTAATAGGGGGTGAGCCTATTGCCATTTACCGGGCACAGTTCCAGACTCCGTGCTACTACTGAGATTTTTTTTTTTAAAAAACCCAGTAATTCTTTGCCCGACCCGCGAATCGAACCCGAGACCCCTTACCCGGCAGTCGCAATTGCGACAACTCGGCCAACGAGGCAGTGGCATTTGAGATGATAGTAAGAGGAAATTTCCTTGTGGAGGTGTACTGTACTACAATCCAATAAAAAACTAAATTAACTAAAAATCGTTGGTTACTCACGTGAATATACTGAGAAAAGCTCTGCTGGTTTTGAACCACAGAGGGGTTCTTCCTTATGAGCAGCGTGCGCGGTCGCGGCGATATCGCGCAGCCTAGCGTACTAGCGAGGGAAAAATACTTCGGTCCGTGAAAAGTGCAAGAGGCCATCGAGATTAGCCGACGTCCATGCTTCAACAGCGATGGTGGAGCTTGGAGTCTACGTCGATCTGCATCGTCTCTAGTCCTCCTTTGTGGTTCGAAACTAGTAGAGCTTTTCTCAGTATATTCACGTGAGTAACCCGCGATTTTTAGTATGTCTCACGGTAATTATTATAAAAACTGACAGAAAACTAATAAAAGAAATATTTTTCTTGTAGTAGCTTCAGATCAGACGCTATATAAAAACGTTTAATGCTTCGATCAATTTTAGTTCTTTTAGTTCATCAAAGACGAAATAAGATAATTTCCAACAAACTGAGCTAATCTAATATAACAGAAAAAAACACACACATAAACGTTTATCGTATTACATAGCTCGGTGGTATTACTTAATATCCTCCCATTAAGTCCCGCGTACGTAATGGACTGCTATAAAGAAACGAGTGTACCAGGGCAGCAGAACATTAGTCGGACATAAACTATTCAGGACATGTGCAGAGCACGGAACGAAGTAAACGTGTAGTGTGTGAGTGTGACGCACGCATATAACTCCTAGTTATTTATGAAGCCCTGGTAGTTTGGTTGTGAGATGACTAGTTTTTTAAAGTTCACGTAACGTCCAGTTTGATGAATAATTATGTACATTTTTGTAAGATTTTAATTAGAATTGTTGGTGAATGGTAAATGATCTTCGTCTCAAAATTTAATGTTGTTTTAAGTTGTTTCTGTTTGCTAAACAGTCAATATAAAGTTTAGAACTGCTGCTGATGAACCAGGAGACTATTTATTTTTTGACTCGTGACATTCGTGTATTTAGATTAAGTCAGGCATCTATCTGATCGCTACATTTTGAACCACAAAAACACAAATCTAAATTCCACACCACAACAAAAAACTAAATTCACAAAAAAGTAGGGTACTAAAAGTTATTTCGACTTTACTTCGTCAAAAAATAGTGACTTACCTATGTAACGTCACATACATGTTTTATTTGAATTTTTCCCAGTTTTTATCCATCAAAAACGGGACAATTTGGTTGGTCCCAGAGTTCATTAAAGGGATAGTGGGATTTATAATTATAAAAAGGGATAGTTCGGTTCTAAACAGGACGTCCCGTTAGTGATGACTAACCAGTTATTCCAATCATCATCAGTCATCAGTTTTGTTCT